ATCTACTCTAGAGTAAAATCTGCGAATACTGTACTATAGCATACACGTTAGTTAATCATTTTGAATAAGGTGGTTTTTCTTAAGTGATTCCATGCTTCTATAGTGTGTCGATTAGTCTATTTTCATAGTATATCAAGCAGGGCTGTGACTCAGGAGTCTATCTACTTGGTTTTCACCTGATCTGTCGTGTGTTCAAAGGCGGTCCCATCTATCGATGTTTGAACAACCAGGAAGTAGTATCGTTAGCCCTCATACAATAGATACGTCTTATTGCCTACTGCACGAATGTCCCCAAGGTTTCTGAATGGATTTCGTTATTTTTATTCCGAGTGTATCAAGTGTAGGTGAAACTTAATGACCTAAATGGTTCTCAACTTACTCGTCTTACTGCTATACGTTTGAGTTTTATACAACTGAATGAAATGAAGTATCACTTTTGAGCTTGAGTATTCCTTCATTTACAAAGTTAACATCATCTTTTTCTGAATAAGTATGCAGAGAATAATCGAGAAGCACGCCGAAGTTGCACAACTGTCATAGTCAATTTTGTCAATCGAAAACTAAATAAAATTCTCTTGATTCTAATCAAACGTTACCGGTTCTTTTTCATTTTGAGATGCGTTTTTCATATTACCATGTTGATCCGGCTTAATTTGAGGTTAACATGAAGTAAGAAACAGCAATAATAACACACTGTACATTATCATTATCGCCTCTATATATAAGGTGGTGAGAGTACGTACATGTCCCGTGAAAAGTGTAGTGACTTTAAAGGCCACTGCAACAAAAACTGAAAAAAAATATCAGTCAGGTTTTAGTATTTTCCCCTGGTAAAGTACTTCTCCATAAAATAAAGGAATATAATTGGCTCTCTTTAGTTGCTAGGGTAGCCTTAAAGTCTTCCGTTGTTAAGTTACTTTTAAAGGCCATCCTAACAACAGCTGAAATAACTAATCCAACTACTTTATTTCATGAAAATCCGCCTTTTTAGCCGAAATAGAGAAAACTAATTAGCTATTTTGATCGTTGCTAGGCTCGCCGTTAAAGCGACTGTAAAAGCCACCTTTGCAACCATCAAAATAACCAATAACATTTCTCCATTTCACCTGGACAGACAGATTTTTATAAAATATAGTCATGACTAAAAGGCCACCCTAGCAACAACTGAAGTGACTAATCAGACTAGTGTATTCTATAAAAATCTGTCCTTCCAGCCGAGGTGGAAGACGCCTGATTGGTCATTTCAGTCTTTTCTAGGGTGGTCGTCAAAGTAACCCGCTATGTGTTCTTTTCGGACCATGAATGTGTGTGTGTAGGCCTGGTTTTAGGATGTTGCCTAAGTAATCCTCTAAAACCTTAAATTTGAATATCATATTCTTAGCTTTTTTCATGAAACAAGTTATCCTCTAGTTATATGGATTTCTACTGTTCTTTTTTTCTCAGTCATTTAAGTTTTTTTTAATAATGGTGATAGGGAAGAAAACACTTGACGTAGACAGTCAACTTATGACAAATAGGTCACAAATTCTAATCTCACTCCATCTAATGAGGGTACTGATACGCAAGAAATGTATTTCGTAGAGTGCATCCTAATGCAGAAATCTGTTTTTTTGAAGGGAACAAATATTACAGCAGATGTAACACTTCGCGACCCTTTCCCTCGATGTTTTGTACTGTAGATGTTTTGGTGCATTGTGATATACCGTTGTGCATACTCCAACTTGTAGGCATAGGTATTCTTTATCGACCATCTGTGAAACACCCTATTATCAAGAGGTTGGGAAAAAACCTATAGCGTTTCATAGAGGTAGGCTAATGTAACAGTCCATTCAGTTACTCTTGTGATATGATTTGGATTGGAGTGTTCAGCATTCTTGATCTAGCCATCTTCAAAATGTTTGATTCCTTACAACTGAATGCTTTTGTCAGTTACACAACTGTGATATCAATGTGGTTTATCTGACATCCATTTACTGAAAGTGACACATTGTATCATGCACTAATGAACTTCGTCAGTGAACAGTATATTGTACTATTTAACTAGCCGCAATGATCTGGTGACTTCATAGGTTTTATTAAAGTGATCGTAGCTTATGAGAAGTGTATCGATTGTTTAATATATTGTTCACTAGTGGCATCAATTAACGTAATGATCTCTGTCGAATCAACAAAATCTGTCTAGGTGACTTTTCTAAAGCAATATGTCGTAAGATAACTGAATTGTTCACAAGTTGTTTTCAGATCACACTAATGTCAACAAATGAAATAGGTTATGCAGTGGTTATGGTAGGGCACTTCGACATCAGTGTTTTTTGGCTGCTTTATCGGCACCAATGTTTTTGATATACTGATATTCTTTCAAGCAACTCTGTATACCTTTCCATTTTTGTGTTGTTGTTAGCAAAAGTATAGATATCATTGCTTTGTTTGCATTTAACTACTGTATTTAGTTGAGGATAGTCATTTGGACTTGTATAAGAATGAAACTCAATAGATTTACTACTCTTTGAAGGTCTTCTGTCCTATTGCAATAGCGTATGTACCTTTCACTTGACAGTATCATCAGCCAGTTTTAAGCAGATAAAATGTACATTTCGTTCTTCGGTGTAAATTTTAATGTTATATGAGACTATCACGCGCGCTTCCTCCTGTAACAACGAAGGATTGCAAGTATGTCAACAAATAATAACAACCAATAGGCTTTATACAAAAGGTGGCAATCGTACCCCAGTGGCTTAATGCATAGTGTTAACGATGGGTAAGGGGTTCGAGTATTAGTTGGAACAACGTAACTGCACATTGGGGTGCAAGTGCATCCAGCTGACGAGTCTTAAGTAGGACGAAACGTGCGTCCTGTTTTCCACTGCTTACTACAACCAAGTCCAATCTTACAATAAATATTCGACCAATATGCATCTGTATAGGAGCCTATATGTCAATAGTAGTTGATCAGTTTGTTTGAATTTAACAGTGGAGGATTAAAAAAATTATCAGTATTCTGTCGAAATGTCTTAATGTTTGTCTAGGGAGTCTGATGAATTGTAAATCACTTCTACACACCCTATTCAATGAAGTTGTCACTTCCGAGTTTTCTCTGACTTCACTCAAATATTCATATTAAGATGCAAACATCCAAGCAGCTTCGAATTTCAGTTTTGAACGACTTCCGTTAGTAATTGACCCGCTTACTACTCCATCAGTGGTCAATTTCTTTATTGATAACTTAATGTTGTGTTGTGTCGTAAAGGTTTTAGCTTTTATGGATATCCTGTTGTGACAGGTGTTTTTCAACCCTACAACCATTGGTTTGCATTTAATTCTGAGATTCTGACGTTTTTCTCTAGCGAAGGTTTATCCCATGTATATAAATATGTAATTTATGAGCTTACGGTTCAACGGAGATATATCAGCAGATATATTGAGAAAGACTTTCCATCCTGCCAAACTCATATTTACTTTCTCTACTTTCCCAGTTCTTCGATTATGCGTAAAGGATAAGCTAGCTTCTTTGGCCACCTCGATGTATGTTTACCAATTCACTTGCTCCTGTGGAGTAAGGTATATTGGCCGTACTCAGTGTTCGCTTTCCAAACGCATTTCCGAACACATAGCAACCTGGTTCCACTAAAGAGAAAGCAAAACATTTCGCAGCTCTATTTTGAAGCATTTAATCGAATATGATCACCAGGTAAATACAGAAAACAACTTCAGTGTCATCTACGGAGTTCGCTGATATCTCGTGAAAGGTGTACGCCTAAAACTTCTCCAAACAACAGAAGGGAAGCAAATCAGTATTTTGAAGCCCGAACTCTGAGTTCAAAAGAAATTTATCCAGTCATTTGAGGTACAATGTACGTGACCTATAAGAACATTTTTATCTTCAAAAACCATTTCATTCAGATCTTCTGACACGTTACATTCCTCCGCTCCTATAATTCTGATCTCTTGACATTCACCGTGTTACATCATTCAACTTAGTAGCCAAATATTACTTCGGTCTTGATAAGTCTTCTTCTCACTACTATTTCGGACATTATGTAATTCTTTTTTTCTTCCGATCTCCTGATTTGTAATCAGATCTAAACTTCGTTCAAAATACTTCATGAAACATTCCTTTTCTACCACTATGCGAATAGAATATTTATATGCGATTGTACAGTTTGAGAATGATATTGCTGAAAAGTGTGACTCTTCGCTAAACGTCTTTTGTTTTATGACTTAATAGGGATTTTCACACTACATATAATTCTTATTTACTTGGTTGTGGCTAGCAGAGGAATCCAGGACCCACGTATTTTCATCATGTTTGGGACTAGTCAGCTTGTACCTGCACCCCAGTGAGTGGTGTTGTTCTCACTGACACTCGAGCATCATACGAGGTTAAAATTACAAGTATGTCAACAAATCTAATAACTTATACCCGTTGTACAAAAGGTGATTGCCGCGCCTTAGTGGCCTAGTGGATAATGCCTTGGCGTTTGAAGCGATGGGTACAAGGCCCGACTTTCAGTGAGAACATCATTCCACATTGGGGTGCAGGTTTATCCATATGACGCGTCCCAGACAGGACGAAGCGCACGTCCTCTCCAAGTAATTTATCATGACAAATATTTATGAAATATCCAAGCTTCCGCACAGGAGCCCAGATACCAATAGAGGTCGAACAATTCGATGCAGTAAAACAATAGAGAGTTACAAGTGTATTAACAAATAAGTAATGCATATAATTCTATTCATATTAGTACTCTGGGTTGTTCTTGGATAGCATGTAAATACGTAATCAGCTTATGGGCAGTTTCTTTTGGATGGGGATAAGAAGGTGGGTTGGTTGCACATTCCCTATAGTGACAAAATCCCTCAACTAACTTGTTTACCTGTTGAGCTTCGCTGAAATGAGTTGACGACAGATTTACCATTTGGTATAGTTTTTTTTCTCTTTAAGTCCTCTTTTGTTAAATAGTTTTTAAGAACAATTTTCCCAAAAATTTTTTTTCTCTTAGTGTTCAACAGAACCAATAACTGCCAGCGAATTCCATCCATTAGATGATGCCACCTTAGTCACTTGTGGTAAAGGTCATTTGGCATTTTGGACATTCGATGGATGTACTTTAAGCAAGAAAATGGGGATTTTTGAGGTTAGTCAAACAATTTTCTCCATGTTTTATTTTCAGTTTTGTGTACTTCATTTGCTGTTTACACCTTTATTCACACTTTGAATGCTTGTTTGACTGAAATATAGACCAAGACATAAAAGCGAACAATATTGTTTTCAATTAGATTCTCCTCAAGCTTTACTCTGATACAAATAACTTAGAAATTAAATCAATCACGTAGATTTGTCGGTTGATGTTATCAATGTTTCAAGAATAACAATGGTGTTAGTTTTACTAGTAATACAAATGATAATGTTGACTAAAGCACTTGCAATTTGGATGAGGTAATAATGATGATAAGAACCAAGAAAGCAGCATGAAAATGTAGACAATCTGATGATAAAAGTGGATCAAAAGCTTGAGAAAATAAAAGTTACACAACACTAAAGGACGAGGTGAATAGATGAACAAAGTCTAAATGAATACAGTAAGTGTACGAATCGGATAAAGAATAAGAAAAGGGTTAAGGAAAAAACTGAATGATAAAATCAATAATTAAGTAGTCCCTGGCCAAGGAAGAGATAAAGGATGTACAAACTTCTCCTGGATATAAAGACTAAACTAGGATTTTTAGCTCGAATTCCCATTGCTTCTGCCATGTGTAAAAGACAAGTTCGAATACCTTTCGAAAGAAGAGGTGGTATGCGGTGAATAATCGTGAAAGTATCACACTTATCTGCCAGGTGACCACTATCATTATCCATCAGAAATTTGGTTTTATCTCAACTCGTTCATAATAGCCACTTCATCTGACTGCTCCTTTTCTACTTGTTTCAACCATTCAAATATCAACTAATTGTGAAATATACTATCACACACTCACAAAATGTTAGAGGGATTAACAATAAGACAACGAGAAAGTATCATAGTTCCTTCCTATCCTACGGACGTACAAGAATGTACAAACTGCATCATGACCTAAAATCCTACTGGACGTTGTGCACTAAATTTATGAAATCACTGATGTTTGGTGAGAGATACATCAAGAAAGTTCGTATTTTTATTTAGACTACTCTTATTTTCGTTTCAGTAGGTAGATTGGTTTCGCCCATCATTTCGCCTTGTCGATTGAGTTTCCTACCTATATGTGATCTGTTTAATGGAGTTGAGCACTTCTTGGTGTAATGAATTGCGAACAGATTTGTAGACAATCAATGATGAATGAGTAGAAGCTTATCCGTCATAGGAGATTGTTCATAAGTAGTTTCTTATCTTTCATTAGTGGTCTGCTTACATTTTGAGCTACTGGGAATATTTCATGGAATTGGTCCTATTTCATACTCTTTTAACGATTTAAATGTCATGTTATCGTGAGGCATACTGTCGCACACTCTTAAGATGTCTTGAACTTATGGTTAGGTGGTTGAACAAGACAAGTGTATGATGAAATATGTCAGTAGATGATAGTTGTTTGCTGAAGGGGAAACAGAGCATGATGTAGGTGCATGGAAGTAACATATATCTGGTAGAGGAAGTTTTCATACACACGCTTTTCTATCCAACCCATGTGTAAAAACATACAAACTACATGAGGAGCTAAAATCTAGTGATTGTTGTGAGTTACTACCTATGATACTGTTGTTATTACCATTATTGAACTGCAATGATTATTTCATTTGAAAATATTGTCGAAGAAGTTGGTTTGTTGAAATATGACCTTCAGAATTGCAAACTGTACTAACGTTATCGTCTGGAATGAAGTGATAACTACTATTTCTATCTAGAGGTTTGTTGATGTTTACTAATTGGTTTTAAGTTGAAATTGATCATAGATTGACATTAGTTGGAGGGATATTGGAAGCCTAGGAGAACTAGACAGCTGTTTTGTATGCGACTCCTCAGCGGTGTGCATCCGTGACCCCACCACCCCAGGGATTAAACCCAGGACCTTCAGGTTCCATGGCCAGCAGGTTACCATTAAGCTATCAGGTTGGAATCCCATGGTTCACATTTCCTACTTCTGTCAGTTCACGATATAGTACGACCTAAAATCGATTGATAAATCTCCTTAACACTTGATTACTACTATTATTCCCAAAACTATGAAACCAACCAAGTTGAACATGAGGACAGTTACTAGATGACGGCATTGGATGCAGGTCACGCCATATCATGAACTGACAAGTGGAAAATATGGACCATTGTAACCCGATCCATTGGCTGGATGGTAACGTGGTGGTCGCGGAACTCAAGGGTTCAACCGTTTACGGGGTCATGTGAGGGCATTGCTGAAGAGTGCCATACTAATACAAAACAGCTGTCCAGTGCTCCTAGGTTTCCAATATTTTTTTCAAGTAATGTCAGTACATGGTGAATACCAACCTGAAATCTGTAAATCCCTTCAAACCTCAAAGTTGGGATTATAAAGTCTCGAACGGTTAAGTTTCAACTCTCCCGGAAATTCAAATAGCTGATTAAAGTCCTGAAAGTAATGACTATTGCTGACTGAAGGTGTTTAGTGATGTCGGGAGTACGCATCAATTTTACCATCTATCTCTGCAACTTCACTACTTGTCTGACTCTCATGTTTTACACCGTTTACCATCTGTTATTGGTGACATTATGTGACATGCCTTTTCCTCGATCTCTGTCGTTAAACGGGTCTAAATTTACACAGAGTAGTAATTGATTATTGGACTGATAACCTAGAAATGTTGGGTCTGGATTTTGTCAAGGCACACAACGTTTTGTTTTATCGGTATAAGTTTGTTGTTTTCTGTTTTTTAAACTTCATTCGGTGTGAAGTAACTCTGCGTGTGTGTGTGTGTGAGAGAGAGAGATGGATAGATAGATAGAGAGAGACTATCTACTGATCAATAGGTGAGTTAAGAATGAAATTGTACTTAACAAATAGAAGTTTGTTAACCGTCCAAATACCAATAAACACATAAGTATTCCGACTATACGCAATGTGGTATAGTTTAAAGGGAAATCAATCAGTACATAGTTGTTAGTACTTGTTTATTTGAAGATACTATTTAATAATTTTATTAGTTACCCTAATATAAATAGACTTTATTCTAAAGGAAACTCTATCAGCTATTGCCAAATGATTTGTGCAAAGAATTTTGATATCAATAATAACGATTAATTTACTGTCGATTATTGTACTGCAAAAAAGAAAAGAAAAATGATCTATTCAGTGTACTGGTTAAGCTCTATATAATGTGAATATTACACCTATATTTATCTGTTATATACATAAAGCTCTTTGCAGTACTTCAGTATTTGTTAATAACCAATTACAGATTTGGTAAACTACTAGGCTATTAATTAATCATACATTGTTGGGCGAAGTAGGTCCAGGGTAGAAAAACGCTCGAGGTGGCCAGACTAAAACATAACATCAATGTATGAAGTCTCTGACTGTTGGTTTGAGCCATGTGGGGCGATACAGACTAGTTGGTTGGGGTCCGTAGGACAAGTGGAGCCAGTGGTTGGAGACTTAAAGGCATATAGCTGAGAGGTGCAGATGTGTACACAGGTTATCCTCATCTTAACACTATACCGAACCTCACCATTTTGTCATTTTTCCTTTCTTTCTTCTCATACTTTATATTTCTATTGATTGAATCTTCTTATCTTCATCTTTCACCTCACTACCTTTCTACTTGATGTACTGATATGTGTGGTGACTCGGACCGTTATGCAGTAATGTCTGGTCCTATGTTGATATTGATTGATTGGTTGAAGGAGATGACGTATTAAGCTAATTGCCTACATGAATACTTTACTTGTGTAACACTTTTGTATTGTAAGTATTGTGACTGTACCTGGAAACTAGTCGTGGTTGTAGTTCATTATGCACATAACATTTATACTTTACTTTGACGATAAACAACATTGTAATGGTGATAATCATTAGTGAATTAATAAATCGCTCAAGAAATGAGAATGACACTTTTCAGTTGAATAAATTTTGTCAATGGAATACAACTTTATTCTTCTTTGAAGCAGAAGAATTTACTTCTTGAAAAAAATATACTTTACAGTATTAGTTTTATTCATTTATCCATTATTTTCTGACAAGATAAGGTTTCACATTCAACTACCTCTCCCTACATGTATGTCAATTGATCTACTCCGCGGAAAAAAGGACTTCGATCATTTGATGTATATTCTTGTCCACGAGGTTTCAGTGATTATGATCCTCGTGGTTGTTAAAAGGGTACAGTGGATTTATGGAAGATATGATGTGATAAGTGGAACACCTTGTCAACACTAACCATTCAGTCCTTTCAAGCTACTCCTTCGAAATCACATGCAAGGGGGAAAAGTAGTTAGCAGAGGCGAATACGCGTTCTCATTCTTCATAATTCTCAAGCTTCCAACAATCTTTCAAATGGAATCAAGAAGTTCATTGCTATTGTTCATTTTTATGAATGTTCTCTATTTCAGAGTGGTAAACAACCAATTGAAAAGCCGAAATTTATACTGTGCCTAACATTTGCTGAAAATGGTGATCTGCTGACTGGTGATTCAGCTGGAAATATTATCGCTTGGAAACGCGGTAAAAATTGTTTGTTTTTTTTTCCTACGAAAATACTCTCTTGTATGATCACTTAACGCGTATTACGTGTTAGTAGTCGATTAAGTGGGAGCGTTTACACGTAGGTTTGATGTTTGATAACACTCAACAACTATTAGGGGGAACTGGTAGTGTCTGGATGGATTGATCCTGCATCGTTTGGTGTCGAAGTTACCCGCCCAACCATTAAGCGATTCAGGTCATCACTGGACTTCCAGCTGGTAACTGACGTTTCTTCTTTTATCCTTCTTATTCAGCAATGACTGGAGTCTATTGGGTACAACATTGTAAACTTGGTCGATTGATTTCGATCGATACTGTGTGCACCGAGAATTCAATGATGCTCATCACTTCTCTTCTGGTAATCGATTCATGATTACTTGTATACCTTAGAATTTATTTTATGGGCTAAGGTTTTGATGCCACACCAACCAATACTAATTGTAATGTTCCAGCTAAAAGGCAACAGGATAATTCACATTTAATATAGTCAATTAGAAATCAAAATGATATTTCAAAGGGAGATGTGGAAAATTACACCGAGAGGAGAAAAGTTGATACCATCTTCATCGCTTTGAGTGTCTGATAAAGTTTGTTTGATCCACGTGAGTTGTAGAGAGTTATAGTTACTCTCCCCGAAACTCGTGGTCATACTAAATTGTTTTCTGGGAAATTGAATGTGAAAGGCTATTTTTAAAAAGCGATTTATGGATTGTGTGCAGCATTTTAGTCTAAACCTCTTTTTATTTGAGTTTTTGATTGCTATTTTGAAGAATCTATTATTATTATTATTATTTTTCCCTTGGGTTACTAGTAGAACATAAGGCTTCAGTAGCACGCCTCCACCGCACTCTCTTCTCTGAAATCTTTTGAACCTGGCACTACAACAGCCCACAAGCTCTCATTTCTTCCTCACACGACCTTCTACATGTCACCATCGCCTCGGACCTCCAACTCGTCGTTCCCCATCTGGGTTCCACCCGACGGCCTGGTGCGTGGTGTCCCCAGTCGGTCTTCCCAGTGTATACCCAATCCAATCGATCTCCACTTTCTTCTGCATATTTGTTGGGCTATAGATTCTTAGTTGGTTCGTTGCCAGCCAGAGTTCCTTGTTGCTTATTCTTATTATTCTGGCAATCCATCTGATCCTCAGTATCGAGTGAGCGTAGGCGGCAGCTGTTGATGATGTATGTCTATAGTTTGTTGGAAATGTTTTTCGTGACACGCCAAGTTTCTGAACCATATAGCAGCACTGACTTGACTGACGTTAGTGTTGAAAATACGGATCTTGTTCCGCATGCTGAGTGCAGTAGACCTCCACACTGATTTCCGATCCTGGCCTTGACATCGCCATCTGTGCCTGTGCCGCCTGTAGTTGAAACGATGCTGCTTTGACTAGTTAGGTAAAAGAGATTATTTCCTTTAAGTTTCTCCCGTTAACAGTGATTGGTGCCTCTTGTTGTTCATGCTCTTGTTGGTTATGTTTCTTCATCACCTCTACATTCACTTGCAGTTGCGTTTTTGCTGACTCTTCTGTCAACTTGTTAGTTTTCACCTGTAGATCTTCGAGTTTGTGCAATATAAGACATTAGACATAAATCATCATCTTTGGCGAAATCCAAATCTTCTTGTGTGGTCTTTTCATCGGTCCAGCAACCGTTTGCCCGTCGTCTCACAGCTCCTCACGGTTTGCTGCATGATACAGTAGGCGGCAGTCTTGTCTTACTCCTGTCTTCACTTCAAAGGCGTCACTTGGCTTTCCATTGTGGATCACTTGGCATGTGGTGTCTTCATATAGCTGTTGAATGAGGTTGATGGTGGTTTGTGGCACTGAAACCGTAGTGTTGAAGCAGCAGCTGCCAAATTACTTGTCGGTCGACGCTGTCGAAGGCCTTTTCAAAGTCGATAAATTTTGAAGAATATTGACTCAAAACTATTTACTTTACCCCCCTTACAGAGCTGTTGCCATATAAACGGAACTTATTAATTTACATACTAAATCACTATAAAATCACATTTTACTGTCATGGGTGTGATATCGCTATTCGGTTACAAGTTTTTGACCATAGATAGTTGTCTTCAAAAAATCTCTGGCATATAGTGAAATCACCATATGAGCGATATTGAGGTTAGGTGGCTTGGTCATGTGTTCTGTATGCGGAGACACCGCCTACCTAGATTTGCAATGCTACGAGAAATTGGATTAGATTAGAAGAGGGTTCGGGATAGCTAGTCAATAAAGTCCCCTGGCTGTTGGTCTGAGCCGTGTGGAGAGGTGAAGGCTACCTGGCTGAGGTCCACAGGATGATAGGGATTAGCGGTTCATGATTCTTGGCGAAATGGCTGACATTGTTTCACAACGGTGATGATATATTCATTTTAGTCTGTTTATTAGAAATATCACACAGTGAAACAGTAGCATTTACTGAATAACGTTTCGGACATAATTTATTGTCCATATTCATATGAATATATGAATATGGACAATAAATTATGTCCGAAACGTTATTCAGTAAATGCTACTGTTTCACTGTATGATATTTCTAATAAACAGACTAAAATGGAATTTCACTCGACCACAGTGCCCAAGTTTTACACTTATATTGATGATATATTCACTTTTTGATGTCTTCTTAAGCTTGAATGTCTTGACTGACCCTAATTTTTGAAGTTCCTGTCCTCTCATACACCTTTGTCAACTTTTATACCACTCTTTTCCTATCCACTTGTTTTTTGTATGCTATTGTGAACAACAACTGCCTACGTTCGTTACTGAAGCTCAGATAGCCAGAAAGAATAAGCAACAAGGAACTCTGGCTGGCGATGAACCAACCAAGAACCTATCACTCAACAAATATGCAGAAGGAAGTGGAGATGGATTGGGCATACACTGAGAAGACCGACTAAGGAAATTACGCGTCAGGCTAGGCCGTTGAGTGGAACCTAGATAGGAAACTACGAGTTGGGCGTCCAAGGCGAGCGTGACATGGAGGAGATCGTGGGCTGTTGTGGTGCCTGGTTCAAAAGATTTCAGAGAAGAGAGTGCATTGGAGAGGTACTACTGAAACCATATGTTCCACTAGGAACCCAAGGGACAAATAATAATAATAGTAATAATAATAATAATAATTGTTTATTCAGAGAAGCGATCGGTTTCCTCTGTGTTATGAAACGTTAAAAGTTTATTTTTCTACCTCATTGTTAAGTTCAACCCATTACTTTACTGGTAGTACTATAAATTACGCTAAAATAACGATTATGTTTTTAAGATAAGTCTGTATGTCTTGAAAGTGTGCATTAAGTGTTTGCCTATCATCTATTCTTTTGTCTGATAACAAGTAATCAGAATATTGATGCTATTCATTCAGGTACCAATACAATTAATCAAATATGCCAAGGAGTACATGAAGGCGGCATATTTTCACTTAGTCTCACAAACAATGGTCACCTTATATCGGGTGGTGGGAAAGATCGTCGTTTGGTATTCTTTGATGCGGCTCTAAATCCTACTGGTCAAACTCAAGAGTTACCTGAACTGTATGGCGCAGTGAGAACTATAACTCAAGGTCCAGGAGAACTACTAATCATTGGGACTACTAAGAATATGATATTACAGGTAAATATTTCAATATACACTAAACATTTTTCTCGTATTTATGAAATACAACTTATTTTTCATGCTTCTCATCAACATTTTTCTTTGGTTCACTGAAAATTCTCACTTGGAACATTTAGAAGAAATATATTCCATATTAGATTTGTTTATTTGATATACACCACACATATCGGTATGATTGGTGTGACTATGAGCAATAATTTGTACTCGAAACATCATCCAAAAATTATTCTGTGTATCAAATTGTCTTCGTTGTATTGCGTTCTCTGAGCTAGGTTGTTTAATCGTGAAGCTCTCATCATCTTTCTAGACGACATCATCGGGACTAACTTCAGTATGAAGTGACCTGTCAATATCTCTCCGTAAGTGATTCAGTTAGCTTACCCTAACGAACTGGTTTGTGATTGCTTGTTTCCTTTCATTGTTGTGTCATAGACCGTATAGATTTTCCTGTTGGCTTTTCCTCTGCTTCATCTCTGACCTTTCTGTCTCCTATCATTTTTGTCATTGGTTGACAGATTGGGTGTATGCCTATACATCTGTTAATTGCTGATTAACCTGAATACCAGGTTGCTAGGACTTCTTTGATATTCTTTGTGTTTCCTTTGTGCAAGATTCCTACATTGTCGAAGTGGAATTCATTTCCTTAGTTATCCACATAGAGTGGAATGAGCGATGAAATGTTGTGACGTTTATTCGTAAATTGGTGTTTATATATAAAACGAGGGTGGAGAGGGTGACCACTTGAGTCAATGTAGTGTTGATTATATTTGATTTGTCTTCTTTGGCTGTTGCGTGCTTTGGTCTCCATAGTAGGATTTGAAGGGATTTTGGTGATTTATGAACCACACCAATTCCAAGTAGTCTCAGTAGATCTTGTCGTGATCTCTGATAAATTCTTTATGTATGGTAAGATGATGCGTTTGTTTGTATTCATCGATCACTTTGTAGTTGATCTGTGGCGTCACAGCGATATGCGATCGTCTATTAAGAGTCGAGTGTACTATGTTGCAGTTCACTTTCTTCTACTGTTTGACTGTGAAACATGGCCAATAAAGGTATAAAACATGAGAAGGTTTCAGATTTTTGGCCACTGTTGCCTTAGTAGCATGAGCCGTGTCTCATGGTGTCGCTATGTGTATAACTCAGAAGTCAGATGTAGAGTTTTAAGCAGGAATGAAACGTATTCAGCTACCATGTGTACATCTATGCAGTAGGCAGGAAGCCACACCTAATGTGTGTGGACTAATGATACTACCCGGTGGCCCGAACCTCGGTTGGTGGAGCGTGGATCGGACCCATGTGATGGTTTCACTAACAATGTGACTCTTCAATTCCAGTTTCAAGAAGGTTTTCTAATTAAGAACTGATGCCATTCTTGTTTTGGCCTTTGTGATAATATAGGTTTAGTTACACACTGCTGGATAACCGTTGTTACTATGATGGTTACGGATGGTGGTGAGATCCTCCTCTATAGCATCATCTGAGCAAATAACTGTGGCATGGTATGCTAGGCATTTTGCCGGGATCCTCTTGTATTGGAGGCGTATGGCAATAAAGAAGTGTGTATATTGATCTGTTAGTGCTCGCTTTCGACATTCACTCTGTTTCAAAGTTCCATCTAACCTTCTCACCAGAAGAACATCAAGAGATGAGATACTGTTGTTTCACTCTTGTTCTATTGTGAATTTGATCGCCGGATGAACACTATTAAACTTCTTAAGAACACCATTCTTATCTGTTTTAATTCTGAGAACTATAAAGGTATCATCATCCATGTAAGGGCAATACTATTGCAACTAGACCATTCTCTAGCTTTACTATTTTACTACATTTCATTGAAGTCATTAATCATAGACCACTATGTGCTTCATTTCGTAGGCTGGTCCTGGTATGGAGATGAGTTCATTGATGTTTGGTCATTCAGAAGAGTTCTGGGGGCTAGCCAACCATCCACAAGCTCATCAATTTTTAACTGGTGGTCGTGATCATTTAGTAGTTTTATGGGATTCCTTATCAAAACAAGCTATTTGGTCAAAAGAATTCAATGATGCTATACATTGTGCTTCATTCTATCCTCTTTTACCAATGATAAATGGGACTGTTAGCCCAGTCAATGGAAATATTGAAGAAGCGGATAATTTAGATTTCAATACATCAATGATGAACTCTCATGATCTTTTGGTGGCTTTAGGCACTAGTACAGGACGTTGGTTGATTTTAAATTGCCTTAAACAAGAAATAATAGCTGCACATTCTGATGGCCTTGGTGAACAAATTGAATGTGTTGCCTACTCACCAGGTAAGTTGTTACTCTCTCGGAATCTGGTTAGAATTTTATGATATTCGTGTAATTACATTTTGCATTCGTGTGTTTTCTCTTGATGATGCTCCCCCTCTCTGATTCAGGTAGATTTGAATTAGGATGAGAAGTGCTGACTAGGCAACCAGTGTGCATACAATCAAGCGGTAACAATGCGTCACGAATTCACATAGTAGCTAGGCAAAACACTGTGATTGAAGTGAAATAAAATTCTGGTCAGCAGTCGGACCTCGTAGTTCAGTTGGGAAAGCAGCAGTCCGGTAACTTGGTGGTCGCTGGCTCGAATCCGGCCGCGATCCAGATTACAAAACTCTTCAACTCAAACATTATTCCATTCCAGAAACTTAAATCTTCCTGTTAATTGCCGGGCTTCTTCTAATTTTCATCACACTCAAAAATTTATTAGGCCATTGGTGTTTGATAAGAGATGCATCGAGAAAGTCCGTATTTTTATCTAGACTACTTATTTTCGTTTCAGTAGGTAGATTGGCTTCGCCCATCATTTTGCCTTGTCGATTGGGTTTCCTATCTATATGTGATCTGTTTAATGGAGTTGAGCACTTCTTGGTGTAATGAATTGCGAACAGATTTGTAGACAATCAATGATGAATGAGTAGAAGCTTATCCGTCATAGGAGATTGTTCATAAGTAGTTTCTTATCTTTCATTAGTGGTCTGCTTACATTTTGAGCTACTGGGAATATTTCATGGAATTGGTCCTATTTCATACTCTTTTAACGATTTAAATGTCATGTTATCGTGAGGCATACTGTCGCACACTCTTAAGATGTCTTGAACTTATGGTTAGGTGGTTGAACAAGACAAGTGTATGATGAAATATGTCAGTAGATGATAGTTGTTTGCTGAAGGGGAAACAGAGCATGATGTAGGTGCATGGAAGTAACATATATCTGGTAGAGGAAGTTTTCATACACACACTTCTATCCGCCTCATGTGCAAAGTCTACTAATAGTTATGGTCTGGAACAAAGTGATTTTCATTATTATTATTATTATTATTATTATTATTATTACTATTACTGTTATTATTATACTGAGGGCATTCACGTTGTGTAACCATTGGTTTACCTGCATGTTATCTAACACTTGATATTTTAATAATATCCGAACAGTTGTTGTCATTTCGTTATGTTGGATGGAGTTATGAGATACAAGAAAATAATGGTAGGATAGCCGACATATCATGCTAGGGGAAGTTGCATTAGGTTGGAAGAGGGTTCAGGGTTGCCAGCCTAAGACCTGGCACCAGTCTATAAAGTTGGTTACTGTTGGTCTCAGTTGTGTATGGAGATGTAGACTACGTGGTTGGGGTCGCGGAGATGATAGAAACCAGTGGTCAAAGACTTTTGCTGACATTCCTGGAAGTCGGTCACAATGGCACAAATGTATTCACTCCTGAACATGTTCTGAAGCTTGAATACTCGCACTAACCTTTATCTTCAAGTTGTTTATTCTCTCACACTACACTTCTTTATCTCCTTTGATAACACTATATATATATATATATATATATATATATATATATATATATATATATATATATATATATATATATATTTGGTCGTTGTGTAATTCTATGAAGTGTTGCATTTTGAGCCAATGCACCTTTGTGCAAGGTTTTACGTTGATTCTGTCAGTCAGTTAGTCAGCCGAAGTTTCAAATACTCCTTCCAGTAACGAACCTTCTCCATATTAGCTTGTTTATTTGATATGGTACATTGTAATGCAGTATTATTTATTGGATTAGTTTTCGGACATAATTTATTGCTCTCTACTTCGATATGATTATGAGACAAATGCAACTCGAAACTCTATATTCATTTTGAACTACTGACTGAAATCATACGAAGATTGTTACCTTCAAAGAAGTTCAATGAAGGTGTATGTGTCTGTATTGTTACTTGTATTACCTGTTGTTGATTGTACCGAATTTGACCGATCTCTGTTGGCATATGGGCTCCTGCACAAATGCCTTTACGTTGCCTGCCGTTTCAATTTTGATAATGTCTAGCAGTGTAATCTAAGACGTTCGTTTCATCGTACGTGGAACTCTTCAGCTGGAGTTACGTGCCTCTCAACGATGAGATAATACGGCTATTTGTTTTTATTTGTATTTGTCCTTTGGGTTCCTAGTGGAACTCAGAGTTTCAGTACCACGTTGCCACTTCACTCTCTTCTGTACAGTCTTTTCAACCTGGCTGCACAAGCTGCCATTTCTTCCTCACACGATCTCGTCCTTGTCACTCTCAGCTCAGACACCCAACTCGTCGTTTCCCATTTGGGTTCCACTCGATGGCCTGGTGCGTGATGTCCCCAAACCGCCTTCTCAATGTATGTCCAGCGCAATCCATCTCCACTTTCTTATTCCTATTATTCTGGTCATCTGATCTCCAGTATCGAGTGAGTGTAGGTGGCAGTTGTTGTTGATGTATGTCTACAATTTGTTGGAAATGCTTTTGGTAACGCGCCAAGTCTGTGAACCATCATGTGGAGGCACTCACTTGACTCAATTAGTGTTGGAAATCCGAATCTTGTTCACGCTTTATACTGTGTGGAGTGGAGTGGAGAGCAGTAGATCTCCACACTGATTTCAGATTAATGAAGATGTGTCTTGCTACCTTTCGGATCCTGGCTTTCGCATCTTCATCTGTACCGCCTCCACCGCCTGTAGTTGAAACGATGCTGCCATGCCTATGTAAGTAGGTGGAAAAAACAACTTCCTTCATATTTCTCCCCTTCATCGTGATTGATATTTGTTGTTGTTGGTTGAGCATCTTCATCATCTCTGTCTTCTCTACGTTCACCTGAAAGAAGTCCCGTCTTTGCTTCCTCGTCTCTTCTGCCAACTTGTTAGTTTTGGCATGCACATCTTCGAGTTTGTGCTATATAAGACATTAGACATAAATCATTATTGTTGGAGAAATCCAAATCTTCTTGTGTGGTCTTTTCATCGGTCCAGCCAGCGTATGCCCCTCTTCTCGCTGCTCACAGTTTGTTGCATGATATTGTTCAGTCCAGTGGACTAGGATGAGGAAGATTATCTGTGATAGTAGGTGGCAACCTTGTCTTACTCCTGTTTTCATTTCGCTTCAAAGGCATCACTGAGCTTTCCATTGTGAATCACTTGGTATATGATACCATCATATAGCTTTTGCTAACTATTATTGTTTCACTTCCCGTGTATTCCTACGAAGTTCTTGATAACAATAGCGCAGACCTATTCAGTTTTTGACGTCTTCTAAAGCTTGAATATTAACAATAACCTTCATCTTCAGCTTGTTTGCTTCCGCATACGACTTTATCTCCTTTGATATGACTCCTTTTCTTGGGATACTACCGTGAAATGTGGTGACTTGAGCCAACGTTCCTGTGTGCAAGGTTTCATGTTAATTCTTTTAGTCAGTCAGTCAAAATGCAATCGCTTATTTCTACATGAAGTACATATGCTATCGACAAGTACACATTTCTGTACAATGAAATAATCGCTTCATCTAAAAGGATTTACTATTATTACTATTGAACATGTTCAATTTTTGATGAAGATCTTTCTTCATTGAAAATCTAGATATTTCCACTGGTGTGTTTAGTCATAATAATTATTGAGAAGTATGCTCACTCATATTGTAGTAAACTATATCACTCATAAACATGCTGTTATCCAAGTAAAAAAATTCTCTCACTTTAATGTTTATTTCTAGTCAGTTATGCATTTAGCATTCTTTCCTCCCTTGTGTTATGTTGAAAAAAAAATATTAGAAATCTAAATTTGTTTATAACTTGAAAGAATTTCGTTGTGAAATAGAATCGAAATTTATTTAGCAACCTTTTCTACACTCGTTCAGTAAGCAATAAGCCATATCTATCATGCGACAATTACGTAAGGCTCAGTAGTTGGTGTGATATTCGAACCCTTATGATACACTAATGGAAAGCCAACTCCCTAAACCAATTGGATAAGTAAGTGTATTTTATGAATGACTGATAGCTTTTCTTTGTTCTAGATGGAAGGTACCATTTCAGATTTCTTTGATAAATCGGTCCAGTCCTACTACTGATTAACTTAACACAAACAAATCTTTATCTGTCCAATAAACACAACTCAAATCTAGCCGAAACTTTGTTAAACATCAGATCACAAGTAAATGTTAAAATATTAGTCACCTGATAGGTGAAACTGATCGAAATGATTTGAACAATTCACAATCACCTTATGTGTTTGTGTATATGTCCAGTATTTTCTTGGTGTTACAACAAGATCCTATTGTTATTTCACTGTTATCAGGAGAGATGAGAAGTGAAATGACATAGATGTGTGTTTATTCTTGATGTGAATATTGTGGTCAACAAGTTCCTCGTTATGTGCGCATATGCGATAATCGTAAACATCGGTTTGTAATAACTTTTTACAATCATGAATTGAACCATTGAAAAATTATATTTAATACTGTAAAGTAATCGGATGGTAAATTATTATTGGTTTGAATGGTTACGATGTACTTAACTGTATTATTATCTTTCTTTAAAATGATTTTCTTCGGTCTTTTTTCTCATCATAACTTCTGTTGTCTGACAACTATTGCCTCCATACAATAAACCATGGTGTGTCAGGAGGTCACCACGTGAGTAACGCAGAAGTCAGATATAGAGTTCTAGGTAGGAGGGTTAAGTCAGTTGATGTTGTTGTGAACCTTCGTTTGCTGAGACGACTGGCTGGGACATGTGTTACGCACGCCTAACCACCGTCTGCCTCGTCAGATAATGTTGGCCGAAGTAGGTTCAGGCTAGAAGAAGGCTCGAGGTGGCTAGACTAGAACATGGCATCAATGTATGAAGTCTCTGACTGTTGATTTGAGCCATATAGGGCGATGCAGACTTGCTGGTTGGGCTCTGTGAGATATAAGAAACCAGTGATTGGAGACTCTAGGTGATATGACTGAGAACCGATGTCAGAGACGCAGAT